ACTATGTTTTAATTATAGGACTGTATCCGACTGTAGAAATCACAAGACGTCGTGGAAATGAGGAATACGACAGGTGATAGCTGTAATTTAGACGATGTTTACAAATGCAGACGTCGCCTGCTCGGCGCAGTGGTTAGAGAGTCTACTCTTAAGTCGCGGAGTAAGGAGTTAAATCCTTATGTTGCAGATCTATTATATCGGTACTTAAAATAAACTTTTTCGAAAAAGACTATATTTTTCCTCATTGGCTTACAATTTCGCTCCTCTACTATACGTTTTATATTGAAGCGTATATAATAGTAGAAAAGCGAAATTTTATCTGACAAAAAAATCTACAAATAATTAATCGGAGATGCTAAAAGAAGTAGAAAAAATACTTACAATATGTAATAGATCCAGTAGACAAGGCTTGTAACAACAATGTCTTTGTTTTTAAGGCTTATTATTTTAACTGTATTTAAGAAAGTTAATTTAATTCTATGTCTGGAAGTCCTATTTACATTCACCGTGCAGCTCTAAGAATGCAATTAAGAACATATTTTAGTGTTAAATACTTCAAACATTCCACTTAACAAAGTTGAGTTTGATCAACCCCACCAATAATTAATGGATTCTTCAAATTCACAAAAATCATCTGTCTGTAATAAAATGTTCATATTAGATTTTGTTGATAAACATAAATTTACGTCTGTAAACTATAATTTACAATCATGAACAATAGTTAGGAGTTGTTAATCATAGTTTCACAAATCGTGAAACTATATTTATCAGATCGTTAACTATAGTTAAGAGTTGTAAACCATAGTTTGCGTTTCTGATTGACAACATCTATATGATTTTTGGAGACCAGTTATTCCAACAATCTATTCGAATTCCTATGGGTACCAATTGCGCTCCGTTATTAGAAGACCTATTTTATATTCATATGAAGCAGAACTTCTGCGTGAAAAGATGAAAACACTTGCTGTGGCCTTTAACTCGACATTTATATATATCGACGACGCATTGTCAATTAACAATGGTAATTTCCATTCCTACGTCGATACGGTATATCCTGGAGAGCTTGAGGAAAAAGATACCACAGAGTCTGACACATCTTTTTCATACTTGGATATTTTACTTGAAAAAGACGTTAATGGTAATCTAACAACCAAGCTATATGATAGACGTGATGACTTTAACTTTTCTATCGTCAACTTCCCTTACTTAAGCAGCAATATACCTTCATCACCTGCATACGGAGTATATATATCTCAGTTGATTCGATATGCAAGAACATGCTCTACGTATGAACAATTTCTAAAACGAGGTAAATTATTGAAAAACAAGTCGATGAAACAAGAATGTCAGCATTGTCGTTTAAAGCCATCATATCGTAAGTTCTATGGTCTATACAATGACCTTGTCAGCAAATACAATTTATCAATGAGTCAAATGCTGACTGACGTTTTTCATACTAATTGTAAGTCCATAATTTATACACTGAATTGACGACGGATTTTTCCGTTATTTCCCGATAATGACAAGGAGCACACCCTAGGTGTGACTGTTCGACAGGGGATGTTCATTCCCCCATGGCACCTGATCCCACCTCTGATGTTTCGGAGGTCCGTGTTTGCTCTGCTCCTATTTTGTATTGTTTTATGGACTTTCATATTGAATACTGTTCGTTATCTCCATATCCTTCTTACAAAACGTGAAACTGTATTTATCAGGTATGCAATCGCAAATGATTGTTTAGTTTACGGTTCTGCAACATAGATAATCACGTTAACTATAGTTTACAGATGTGAAATATACTCACCGTCAATGAAAACGCAACACCCTAATTTTAGGATGAAAATTATATACAGGTTATAACTATGTACCAAAAAAGTTAGGACATCTTTTACTTTGCCAAATCAGTAATTTAACGGTTGAATGAATTTCTTTCCATTACCGGAAGTTGCTTTTTAGCCCTCTTAACAGAATTCAAAATTTTCCATTTTTAATAAAATTTTAACAATATTTTGGGTTCCAATGTTTTGAAACTGTTAGTCATAAGTATTGTACTAAAAGGCCGGGGAAAAATCCCTCTTTCTTTACCGGATGTGATGCCTATATTTCCTCAAGATGACTGACTTTCATTGCTAATGCTATAAATTCTCAAAATAAAGAAAAAAAGAGCTGCAGATGCAAATATACACTATATAACGACCCATCAGGTTCATGTGTTTCAATAGCATAAATGGCAGTTTCTTGACCGGAAGTCAAAAAGTTGCTACACTACGCCAGGTAAGAGAAAATTAGACCGCAATATCTGAAAATCGTGTATTTAAAAATGCCCAAGAATATTAATTTCGCTTAGATTAAGACATTAATAAACTTAATGCATGGTAGAAATCGGGCTATATATGGCGGACTATACGTTTTCATTAAATGTAAAGGGGGATGTTTTAAGATTTAACGGGTATTTATTTCTTTCTAAGGTCTAAAAATAACATTAAATGTTTAAATGTAGCATTATTTTTTTTGTAAATTACTTTTTTACCTAAATATATTCATTTTTAATGTTATCATTAAACTTTTGAAGGTAACACATAACTCATAAAACATCCCCCCTTCTTGCTATCAGTTATTTTGAGGAAATATAGGCAGCACATCCGGTAAAGAAAGAGGGAACGGCCTTTTGTACAATATTTATATAATCAAAACCTTGGAAACCCAAAATATTGTTAAAATTTTATTAAAAATGGAAAATTTTGAATTCTGTTAAGAGGGCTAAAAAGCAACTTGGTATGGAAATAAATTCATTCAACCGTTAAATTACTATTTGGCAAATAAAGATGTCCTAACTTTTTTGATACATAGTTATAACCTGTTTATAATTTTCATCAAAAAATTAGGGTGTTGCGTTTCCATTGACGGTGAGTATATATATAAACATTGTTATATAACTATAGTTTACAGATGTAAAATATAGACTGACATTGTTATATAACTATAGTTTACAGATGTAAAATATAGATTGACATTGTTATTATATAACTATAGTTTTAATACAGATGTAAAATATAGATTAACATTGTAACATGTAACTATAGTTTACATAAACCTAGTTTTTTTATGTATGAAACTATGTTTAGCTCATTTTTGTGAATTTGGCTAGCCCCATGTATTAAAAGAAATAAAATACTGTTGTAGCTTTAACATTAAGTATTATATAACTAGATTTATAAAATTAGCAGTTAAGTGATCAAGAATGCTCATAAAAGTATCAATGAATCCACAAAGTTATGTAAATTTATCCACAGTAAGGGGCCTGGACACAGTTTCAACTGATTTTTTAACACCAATTTTAATGTTTACAATTCCTACTTAAGGCATCATCTATTGATTAGCAAAAATTTGAACATCATTTTTTGATTACCAAACAAGATACATAACTTTTAAGTTCTTCATAAATGTAAACAAGGCTCGTGCCTTGTTTTTGTTTACGTATAGAAAATATCATATTTATAACAAAATTAAGTTCAGCAAATCAATAGTAACTTTTGTGAATTTGTATTTGTCCCCCGTATTGAAAAGATAAATATTAACGCTTTCGTTTCCACACGATAGCTACTGTTGTAGCTTTTGCAATGACATTTTGCATAGCAACTCCCTCTGGACTAAAGAAGATCCCTATTGATTTTGAGGTCAAAAGGTCAAAGTTCAAGGTCGTAAATTTATACATTCTGTCTGTGTGTAACAGTTAAGTGATATTAAAAAGCTTTTGCAATGTAATTTTACACCAAAACTCCCTAGGACCTCTCTCACCCCTTTCAAAGTGTCTCATCCCGTTTGTTTTATTAGTATTTATTGTATTACATGTCGCTATTTTTAGCACAGGGGCATGAGGAGAGTTATTACGTATAAAACAGGTTCTCGGCGGACTTTATATTCTTATTTTATTAGAACTGTTTAATAATGGTTAAATTTGACACCATGCATTGTGTAAAATTTTGACAATATCGAACGTGAATATATACATGTATGAGACTTCATCTTTGCATAGAATTTTTGTAGATATAGAGTGGTCCTGTGGTCTAGTGGTATGTCTCTCGCTGCAAATGTGAGAGGTCCCGGGTTCAATTCCCAGACGATCCTCTTTCTTTTTTTCCGAAATACTTTTTTTTTACTAAATGATAGTAGTCAGCATGTGAAATGAAAAATTTTGTTTACATATAGAATATCCATAATATATTTAGTATACATGTATACATTTAATAATTCTACAAATGAATCCCCCCGAACGGTTTATTTTTTAACTGGGGGACAAAAATTCTCTGAATTAGCTTATTAAAATTAACTTTTATTTGAAATTATCTATTTTGAATGAACATATATTAGTACATTAACCTCTGTAAACCAAAACACGACACTAGCCTTGTTTACGTAACAGTTTGAAGCTCTAAATCTGTCTTGTATCATGGGCAACTGGCATTCAAATTTTTGATGACCATCAGAAAGACCTTAGTTAAATATTTGAAAGAATGGAAAAATTAATTTTGAAATTTTAGCTTAAACTGTATCCATGCCCCTGATAATGTTGCATCATTTTTTTGAGATGACATTTACCTTCAAAAAAATCTTCATTTTCTCCCTTACAAGGGAGTGTGGCCCTTCATGTGAAAAAACTTGATTCCCCTTCATCAAAGAAAACTTTGTGGTAAAATTGATCAAATTTGGCTTAGTGGTTCTGGAGAAGATAAAAATGTGAAAAAGTTAATGATGACAACATTGGCAACAATAGACATTTTGATCAGCAAAGCTAATTTGAGCCTATGGCTCAGGTAAGCTATAATAACACATCGTTTTCAAGATGCAAAATCAGGCTACCTTTTAAAGAATTATTTGAATGCCTAGCTAAAACTAGCCTAACTCAAATTTCTTTCAATCCGCAGGAAATATTTTTTCTTCAAAAAAGAGAAAATAAACACATGTTCAAGATTTCCCCCATAAATGACCACAAATTCAACTTACAATTCATGTGGTTTTAATAAATAAATAGCAATATCAGATGTCAAAAACAGTTGACAAAATCAATTAACATTACATGTACATACATGTTCATTTACAGCTCTAAATATATTGTTCATATATTTCATAATTTCTTCATAAAAATTAGCTCATGAGTGTTGATACTACAAATTGTGCTTGGCAGTATGTATCTTTCCATGATTCTATATAAGACGTCAATAGTACAGAATGCTTTTGGCAGTATAGTAAGTACAAATTGTGTTTGGCAGTACTTCATATTCTATATATATGCCAATAGTAGAGATTGTTAGCAGTATAGTTAAGTACAGATGGTTTTTGGCAGTACAGTTCTTCACATCCTATATAAATGTTTACAGACAGTGGACTCCTAAGAGCCACACATCAGACAGTCGTCTTTGTTCTTCAGAGAGCACACCATGGCCTCCATGTTTTTCGTTGTTTCCTCTACTTTATCCTCTGCGGCTGATTTTCCTGTCGGCTGTTTTAGCTTCGTTTTGTCTACAGTGAACTGTATGGCAGAAGCTGCAGGTCTCGTTCTTAAGTAGTACATTCCTGTCTTCAATCCCTAAAATTAACAATTTCCCATCATGCATGTTTCTTTCCTTGGTTGTTACATAAGTGATACAATGCCTGAATTTTATTTATACAAGTCATAAAACATTAAGCTATTGCAAAACTATTCAAACATCCTGAAAGTTTAAATCATTGTAAAAAGTTGCATGTCTTGTTTTTCTTTGCAAAAGAACAAAATCACAGAAATTAGAAGGAATATTTCAAGATAAAAATATTTGAAGGATGAACATTGTTGTAGTCTTCGTTAAAGGATGAGAATTTTTTTTGTAGTCCTTGGCCACTAAAATGACTACTTACTAATTTCCAGGCGTAGAAGTGCATGCTGGTCAGTTTGCCTTGTCAATGTGTTGACATACCAATAATGTTTCCAGGTGTAGAGAGAGAGAGAGAGAGATATTTATTAAATTATAACAATATTGCCTTTCAACTAAAATTTTTATCATTTACCTTTATATACATAAACAATGTACCCTTCATTTATTTAAGTTTTATAAAACACATAGCTAGGCACACCACTGCTCGTCTGGTATTTACCGAAAACAAAGAGAGACAAATCAAACTAGCATAATTCAAGTGAAAGTTTACATGTACAGTTTATTAAGAAGTCGAAGTTTTATTCAAAGCAAATGAAACAGAAGAAAGTGTCAATGATTGAAAACACGGTATAATTAGAAGGCCTCCAGGGAGTGAGCTTAATGGCAATTAGCATTACTTTTACACATACAATGCTGAAAATTTACATAAGCCGTTTTATAAATCATTTGAAATTTTACGCGTTTAAGTTTTACGGATTTTTTAAACTCGTAAAAATTAGTAGTACGTAAAAAATACCCGTTATACGGTATTAGTCTTTGACCATAACATTACAGATCGTGTAATGCAAAAAAGATGCAATTAACAAAACAAAATTTTTGGCGCACAATTGAGGAAAATTTCTACACTTTCAGCATTGGTAAACCAACTATTTTTCGATCCCTATTTCTAGACATATTCTGTAACCAATCTCTATTTTTATCCACCACCCAAACCTTTACAGTCGTCTCTGCAATGATAAATTCGGCTGATTAGAATTGGCTGTTGGATTGCTGAAAATTTTCTTCAAGCTAGCTGTAGAGACGACTAAAAAGGGTTAGGAGGGGGATAAAAAATATAGATTGGTTAAAGAATGTGTCTAGAATTAGGCAGGGAAAGATAGTTGGTTGACCAATGTTTGAAATGGAGAAATTCTCCTCAAAAGTGCGCTTAAAATCTTGTGTTTGCACAGTTTTTCCATTTATATAGCTTTAAGGTCAAAGACTAATATATAAACCATAAAGCTACAGTTCTGCAGATAGAATTTATCAAGATAGAGAATATTTGAAGGATAAATTTTTTATAGTCCATGTCAACTAAGATGACAACTTACTAATTTCCAGGCGTAGAAGTGCATGCTAGTCAGTTTGTCTTGTTAACTAAGATGACTACTTTCTAATTTCCAGGCGTAGAAGTGCATGCTAGTCAGTTTGCCTTGTTAACTAAGATGACTACTTACTAATTTCCAGGCGTAGAAGTGCATGCTAGTCAGTTTGCCTTGTTAACTAAGATGACAACTTACTAATTTCCAGGCGTAGAAGTGCATGCTAGTCAGTTTGCCGTAGTTTGGCTCCGCGATGTGGATATTGAGGGACTGACTCTGATCTATAAAGGCTCCCCTGTCTGCTGCCATCTTGAGCACAGTCTTCTGGGAAATCTCCCACACTGTCTTGTACAATTTTCGGATTTCCTCTGGAATCACCTCGATATTCTACAATAGATAATATTTTGATTTCTAAACTCACCAAACAACAGCTAGACATCAAAGCTTTAATACACAGAGGTTGACAGATCCAGGATTCATTAAAACCCCTTTTTCTCTTGCTAGAGCTTTTTTTAACATCTTGTTTGATCTTTCCTTTATATATTGGAGACTTTACCCCATGTAAACAAATTACCAAGAAAAGATTTAAAACTAAGAAATTTCCTTTATCCTGCAACTACCCCTTGCATTGACCTAATAAAGGTAACCTAATAAACCAAAGCTTTATCCGGTCACTGTCCTAATAAAGCCTCGTGCATGTATTCCGACGTTTCAAAAGCATTGTGACATTATGTATACTGCAATGTTTACACCATGGCGTCATAGTTTCAACTGCAGAGATGTGCCTGAATCTGTTGGAATTAGCTTGTTTTGGATGCCCAAATGTAAAATTTTGTTGCAGGATAAACAAAATACATGACAACTGTCTTGAAATATAAGCGATATTTGGGCTCGGGTTGAAAACGTAAGAGTGCTCGGCAAGCCTCGCCCTCTATCACGTTTTCTTACCCTTGCCCAAATATCGCTTATATTTCAAGACAGTAACCACGTATTTTATATTTCTATGACAAATTTTTCAACCTTTCAGCCGACACAGAATTAAGACTCCTACCTGTATAGACCCAGAGTAGGCAATGATTTTGTTCTTCATGTCATCGTCCCACAAACCTCGCTCCGTTAAATCCTTCATCAGATGCTGGTTCACAACCTTAAAACCAACATACATTAATTATATAATAAACTATTAATCTATTCATCTTAAAATTCTTTTCTTTTTTTAAATTATTTGTGTTACTGTCTATATTATTTTTTTTTCTATTCAAAGACAAGTTACCGGATATTCCCTTTGAATAATGTCCCTATTTTAAGCTTCTTCTTAATTTTACAGAGGATTCCCCAACCAGATTGTGCAAGTTTCAATTAAATTTGATTTACCTGGAATTCCCCATACAGCACCTTTGTGTAAATGTTACTTATTTAGGCCTCTAATTGCTTTACCCCTGAATTCCCGTAAGAGTACCCTGTTGTACTGATGTTACTACCATATAAGCAGAATTTTTAGCGAGGGTTTAATTCTGGCATTATTAGCGAGGGTGCCGTGATCGCTAAAATTTGATATCGCTAAAAATTAATAGCGTTTAATTTGTAATAGCTTCTTTAATGTGAATTTTTAAATCTCTAAAATCACATCTCGCTAAAAATGAAACACCAGTTTTTCAGGAGAAATTGCTAAATTTGCGTCTCGCTAAAATTTCCACTTATACGGTATTTTTGGCCTCCAATTGATCTGGAATCCCCTAAGAGTACCCTTCTTGTACTGATGTTACTATTTCTGGCCTCTAATTACCTGGAATTCCCCTGACAGAACCCTCCTGGAGTAAATGTTGCTGGTGTAGGCCTCTATAGATTCATTGTTCCCCAGAATCTGGGCTGTAGAAGCTGTCGGCATTGGGGCCAACAACAAACTGTTCCTAACACCGTGTCTGTAACAAACAGATACTTAAAATCAAAGCAACAAAACATCTATCATGAATAAGGCAAAAATTTGCCTAATTTTTTTTTTATATTAAATCCTTACTAAAAATATGGTGAAAAGATATGTTGAAATATTGGTTATTGCTGTATTTTACTGAACATTTTCAGACCTGTAACAGACTCCTGGGGACTTTGACCTAAGGTTCATCTTCACCAGGTTATTCCATAGCTTTTCCAGTTATTACAGAACTTACATACTTACTTAGAACTTTAATATTTTCAGATAATGTTGTTAAAATCACTCACTTTTTAATTTTTTGTCGCAGTGAATCCCAGTCCTGAAGATTTGTAGGTGTGACGCCCCACATGTCTGGCTGTAAAATCTACAAACAACACATTATTTTAAAATACTTGTCAGTTTAAATAACTGAATTTCATCCCTGCAATTGTTCAATGAAATTTTTAGGTACATGTACAAATAAAAGATTTAAGTACCATTTTTACACTATTATTGCATTTTATGCTAGACTTCTCAACATGAAATTTACTCAGTTTTTAGTAAGCATTACTCTGACCAAGTTTACTAAATACACTGTAAACTGGTACCAATCCCTTACCCCTTTGCTGACTGGACTCCCTGGGTATGTTTCATACGGACCATCACGTTCTGCTAACTCACAACTAGCCTCCAAAGCTGCATAGTAAATTGTCTCAAAAATGTGTTTGTTGAGCAGCTGTGCTTCCTCACTCTCGAATGGGAACCGCATCAGAATAAAGGCATCAGCTAGACCCTGTACTCCGATACCAATGGGACGGTGTCTCATGTTAGACCGCTTAGCCTGAAACAAAACAATTAGAGCAATATTCAGTTATAGATAGACCTTGTTCTCAGATATCTAAAGTAGAACCACTTTACCTACATCAAAACAATAAAACTACATAACTTGCATCAAAACATTAAAACTAGATAGCATGCATCAAAACTATCGAACTAGAGTAACTTTCAGCTAGACCTTGTACTCAGAAACTTAGCCTGCATCAAAGGAATCTATGCCTACTAATGGAATAGTCCTAGGAGCTTACCACTCCCAAATG